GGTTGTAATTAAAAGCAGGACATTTCTGCTGAAACTCAGGTGGAGGTGATTAAAAATTTGTGACCAGAGTATTTCACAAACAGAAAGGAGGAAAACAGGTTTCCCAAGTGTGGGACAGCAGCACGGTATGAATTGCTTCCTCTTTGTAAATAGGTTCTGCTATTGCTGTGATCTCATGGTCACGTTCACGCCTGGCATCCAGGTCACAGCTGCAAGCAGTATCTGACATACACAGAGGATTTTTGATTTCTGAGCCCTTAAAATTCTGTTTACCTGTTTTCACAAGGGGAAAAAATCTAGGTGCTTTGGTTCAATTGAGGGTAGGTGGGTAGGTTAACACAGTTCATAAATTAATTTAACTTTGCCACGTGTCTCTCTCCCAGGGGGCACAGGTCTCGTGGTCTTCTAAGGGATGAAAGAACTGGGTGTTAACTTTCCATATTGAAGAGACATTAGCTCTCCTTCCCCTTCATCCTCTAACATTTCTCCCACCTGAACTTTCATCCTAACTACAAAATTACCCAATTCTTAAATTTATATGACTAAAACCCGCCCTCCCCAACACACATTTTAGCAACTCCCAAAATTTAATCCATGAAGTACTGCTAAAGAGCTGAGGTTTACTGAAGTTAAGTAACTTGGCTAAACACTCTGCCATCTACTAGCTGTGACTCATCTTTAAAAAGCAGAGAACAGGGGCTGGCCCGGTGGTGTAGTGGTTAAGTTCACACGTTACGCTTTGGCGGCCCAGGGTTCGCTGGTTCGGATCCTGGGCGTGGACCTACTCACCACTCATCAAGCCATGCTGAGGTGGCGTCCCATATAGAAGAGCCAAAACTTGACAACTATGATATACAACTACGTACTGGGGCTTTGGGGAGAAAAAAGAAAAAGAGGGAGATTGGCAACAGATGTTAGCACCGGGCCAATCTTCCTCAAAAAAAATAAAAAATAAAAAAAAAGGAGAGAACAGTGGTGGCTGACTCCAAGTTGACAAGAGGATAAAACAAGTTAATTATTATGTGTAAAATATGACAGTCCCTGGCACTTAGTTAGTTCTCAACAATGAAAGATACTATTATTACTCCACATCTAGGAAGTAGCAGAATTGATTTCTGATTTCATTCATTCATCCAATAAACATTTGTTGAGCACCTGCTCTGTGCTGTGTTCTGGGGAGATAGCCCACGTTCTTAACCACTATGCTTTATTACCTCCACTTTAATGTCAGGGAAGACATCTTCCCGCTTTGTAGGAAATTGGGGAATAATGTCACCAAAGATACGACGATTCATGGTGCACCAGCATTTTGTTTTTAAGTCTTCAAAATAAGCTTCATGGGTAGGTATTGTTTAGATAAAGAATGCATGTCTTATAGTCATTCCTGTTGCTCTCAACATAGTGCTGACTTTACACTGGAGCATAAGACAAGAAGGGAGTGTAGCTGCTGCTAGAGCGGCTTACATCTGAAGAAGTTATTGAATAATTAACACATGATGCTCCTCAGCTTGGGAAACAGTTTTTCTCAATTGACTTTTAGAGGAATTAAAAGTTTCATTTACATTTAGTAAATAAAGCATTTGCCTTACAAAGTCAAATATTTAAGTTGCTAGAGATCAAGCTTTTTAAAGCCAAAATAAATTGAGACGAATTAGGACTTTCTCCTAAAGCCGTATGGAGTAAGGAATTTGAAATAATATAAAATAAGGGATAAGAGTTGTGTTTTTAAAAAAAAAAAAAAAAAGAGGCAGTGGCTTTAAGTTAATATGACTTTATCATCTGAGTAATGATCAGATATCTGACCAAAGAGGCTTACAGGGTTGGGGCTGCTGTCTTCCCACTAGGTTGATGTGTCTGACTTTTCGATATTTCATTAGTGTCATTCACAAGCTATATTCAACATGAAATGACAGAGTAAGGCCACCCATGATTGCTCTCTCACAGGTCTCTGGCTTTGATGCGTCATTTCGGTACAGCCCTCCGAACCAAGTGCCGATAAGAATAGACACTCGATAGGAAAATAAAACAACACGAGAGCTGAAGCAGAAAGAACTGGAAACTCACAAGTGTGAGCTCTGCCGTATTTAGCTGTGTGACCTTGTGCAAGTCACGGTCCTCTGGGGCCCTGAGTTTCTCATGCATCAAATAAAGTTTCTAGAGTCTCTTGCTGAAGTTAGGTCAACTTTGGAGTTTAATATCCACTAAGACAAATAGAAGATAAAGGACTTTCAGGGGCCAATGATTCGTGATTTCTGTAATTAGAGTAGCTTTGTTGGCTGTTGGAAAACAGCAGTGGCAGATAACTCAGCCTGGCATGTAGTTATTGGAGATCAGTGATTTTTTTTTTTGTTAAATAAAAAGACCTGACTACAGCATAAGTTTAGGTGCCAATGGTCAGGGTGGTGCCAAGTTCCAGAAATAGCAGCTAGGCTCTTGTACAGAGGACTATATGGAGGGGACACTTGTCACAAACTGGTTTTCCCACCTGAACCTCCACTTCAACTTTCTCTAGGGAAGATCTCATATGGGAGATGATGGAGTGTAATGTCACCATCCAGTACACAACCCACCCCAAACATGTTGCCTGGGAAGTCACTGCCAGTGACTGGGAAGAGGCAGGTGGTATTTCACACCTCCTTCCTCTGCCTGGTTTTGTTCTCTGAGGATGGAGAATCTCCAGACAAATACACGTTCTGTATTATGGGCTCCAGCTGCAAACCCCTAGTGACTTGGCTTGCGTTAAGCATGGGATCCTCTACAGACAGGCAGATCTGAACCATCCATTCTTCTGTCTTCCTCTGGGCACTTTTTCAGCCTCCTCCAATAGACAGAGAAGCTAAGAGAGAATTCCCCTTTCTCTAAGTCCTGGACCTCAGCTTGCCTATCTGCGTATTCCGTGCTTCCCCACACAGTCCGGCTTGGCCTGCCACAGACTAATGAGGGTCCCCATGGTATAACAGGAAGAGCTTGGGTTGGGGGTCAAGGTAGGCCTCATTCTGAATCCCAGCTGCTCCACTTCCTGGCTGTGGAACCCAGGGGAAGTTACTTAGCTCGGGCAGTCAGCGTGGTAGTATTAATAGTCATCATGCAGATGTAGCCTCGTTGGTTCTTCAAGAATTACATTTTATGCTTAAACCATATGAAAATGTCCTCTCCTTAGAGGAGAGAGTGAAGGTGGGGCAGAAAACTAGACCTTGAACTCTCCCCTTCCCATCCCTCCATTCCCAAGAGGGTGTGATAAACCCCAGAGATAGGCGGAACCTCCCAGGGGTCCGAGAGCATTCCCACCTCCTTACACAGCTCCCAGGACAAAGATTTTCAAACTCTGTGAGCAACAATCTGCTTTAAAGACAGACTTCAATCTGTCTAAAAAAGGTTACATAAAACTAATTTGTAAAGTGAGTAAAAGTAGACTTTTGTTTATAAAAATGTGCTTATGTTGAAATACATAATAAACCCAATAAAAAGGATGAAGCAGCTTTGCTTAATACAGAAATTTGGAATAGAGGAGATAATAGATGAGAGATATGGTCTTTTTCCTAGAACATATACAGAAGTAATTGCAAAACCTTTTTTTTTTTTTTTTTTTTCTTACCAGTTCTCTTTCCAATCAAGTGATACTGGTCAATTAAAGAGAAAAGATAGGGCCGGCCCGGTGGCGTAAGCGGTTAAGTGTGTGCACTCCGCTGCGGCGGCCCGGGATTCACCGGTTCGGATCCCGTGCGCGCACCGGTGCACTGCTTGGCAAGCCATGCTGTGGTGGCGTCCCATATAAAGTGGAGGAAGATGGGCACGGATGTTAGCCCAGGGTCAGTCTTCCTCAGCAAAAAAAGAGGAGGATTAGCAGATGTTAGCACAGGGCTGATCTGCTCACAAAAAAGCAAACAAGCAAACAAAAACAAACAAAAAAAAGAGACAAGATAGAAGACTTATTATGCCAAAGCCGCCTGAAATATATAGACCAGCATGTGTTCGTTCACATGTAACAGATGGGAGTGAACTCTTAAATTATTGCGTTTTTTTTTTCAAAATGCTTATACATTTAAAAAATTTAAAGCAAATGTTAAAATGTCTGAAACATCTCCATAGAATCCCAGGGTTTGGCAGAAGACTGCTCAAAACACTCCCTTAGATCTTGCAGCTCTCAAATCTCAATTTTCTCTCCTTTCCTGCTTGATTGTGGGGTATATGTGTTGACTTATGGAGATCTGTACAGTTTTCAATACTAAAAGCCATTTGAGATGGAAAATGGTGACATTTGAATGAGATCTGCAGTCTGGTTGACAGTATTGTATCAGTGTCAATGGCTCGTTTTGATACTGTGTATATAGTGATGTAAGATGTTACTACTGGGGGAAGTTGGGGGAAGGGTGCATGGGACTCGGTACTATTTTTGCAATTTACTCTGAGTCTATAATTATTTCAGAACTTAAAAGTAAAAAAAAAAGGAAGTCATTTGAAAATGATTGTCTTCTGCTTAACTGTTAAGAGATAGTATAACCAGATTAATAGAGCCATGTGCACACCACACATATGGAGTGCATTTCCATTATCTTACCTTAAAAAAAAAAAAATCTTTTCTTTCATGCTTTAGTGAATGTTTTAATGTGTGCTAATATAATTCCATTTTTAAAAAATCAGTTTGGGGCCAGCCCCAGTGACCTAGTAGTTAAGTTCGGCGCACGTGGCCCAGGTTCGGTTCCTGGGAGCGGACCTACACCACTTGTCTGTCATTGGCCATGCTGTGGCAGCGGCTCACATACAAAATAGAAGAAGATTGACCACAGATGTTAGCTCAGGGCGAATCTTCCTCAGCAAAAAAGAAGAAAAAGTTCAGTTTACTCAGGAACATAAAATACCAAGACCACGAGGTCTTGTGCGTTAAGTGGGGCTTTAGTGTTGTGCCACTTGTGGAGACCACCTGGGCTGACCCTTGAGACAAAGCGCTCAGCTGTCTGGAAATCACTCTGTCTGACCAGCTTTTCTGGCTTCTTCTCCAGGGTTATCAATGCTGGGAAGAGCACGCATAATGAAGACCAAGCCAGCTGTGAGGTGCTCACTGTGAAGAAGAAAGCAGGGGCCATCATCTCAACCCCAAACAGGAACTCAGCCAAGAGACGGTCCTCCCTTCCCAATGGGGAGGGGCTGCAGCTGAAGGAGAACTCGGTAAGACCCTCCTTAACCCTGGGTCTCGGGTGAGGGGAACCGCATACTCTGGCCCCGCAGTGAGATGTTTGGCTGATCCAGGTCTGAATGGAAGCGAGAAAAGCAATGTCCCCAGAGTCGGTGGAGTGGCAGGTCTGTACTCAGGGTATCGTGTCACACAGTCAAAGCTGAAGGTGACACACATATGAAGAGCTGGCGTTTAGGTAAATAAAACACCCACATCCAATAGAGGTTTTGTTGCAAGAACTAGTATAGATAATGTTTGGTGGTTTTAAAGAAGCCACTTCAAGGTTTTTGTGAAGGAGATGGTCTCTGGAAGCCTCTCATGAGGAGCGGAAATAACTCTACCCATTGGCTTAGAGCCCTGCTGACTCTGCCCTTTCTTCCCCTCGTCTGTCTGTTAGAATTGTCCAGTTGGAGCCTGCATTTGAGGCTTTTCCAGATTAATATTTGTTTCATTTGGCCCAAAGCCCTTGTATCCCATGGGGTGGCCTGCAGATGAATGCCCTGTTGACAAAGGGTGAAGCATTTCTCCTCTCTCCAGTTTCTGGAGAATAAAGCAGACACCCTTGGAAGTTCTGCAAGAACACTCAGAAAAGTATAGGGAATAATTGGTATGTGTCCGTCAGGGGATTATTTAGTCCTATAGACAAGAGACATTGAATGGATGACCCCAATGGGGCTATTTATTCTAATAATGTTGGAGGATATTTTTGTATATAAATTTTTATAGGATCGGAAAGGATCTAGGAATCTCTTCTTAGTCTAAGAAATAGTGTCTTGTTGCGTTTATGCTTAGGGAATAAGAGCACTGATTTATTTTGTTAGTATTAGTTCAACTTAGAGTTAGAAAACTCAGCAACCTGTGGAGGCTCGTCAGTTGTACTTGTTTTCAGGGCTGAAGGAAGCATGGATTAGGTCTCTACTAAAGAGCCAGGGTCGAGGACCCAGATGGGCAGTGTAGAACAGTGGTGCTGAAGTGCACAGGCTCTGGGGTAAGACGTTTTGGTGCAGTCCCTCACTTACTAAGCTATTTAATTTGGGGATAGTTACTTATTCTTTGAGCCTCAGTTTTCTCTTCTGTGAAAAAGAATAATAATAGTAGGAACTACCAAATATGGAAGGAACAGGCTAGTGGGAAGTATGAAACCCAATAGTTCACAGAAAACGTTGAGGCAGTGTCTTAATTAATAAATCCTTGATAAATGTTAGTGATTATTATCCTGAAGTCAGTCCCTCTTCTGTCATTCTCTGTGGATAATACCCACTGAATTTTGTGTGTTTATTCATTTGTAAATCAGAGGTCACACCGTCTCTTTTATACCTACTTGACAGAATTATTTTGAGGATTGAGTTATTATGGAAAAGGGCTCAGAAAATGTGAAGCATTAATGATAATTGGATATGGGTGCCAGTGACTTAATGCTGCTCTTGCCCCTGGTACTTCGCCCTGCTTCTGGGATATAAAGTGATTTCTATGGAAATAAGTCAGAGTTGACATTTGGCCCAAGGCCAGTCAGTGATGGACTTTTTCCTTGTTGCTAGATTCCTCCTAGAAATGGAGCCGGGAGTAACTTTGTAACTGTCTTTCCTTAAGAACGCTGAGACCAGTGCATAAGCACTCTCGGGTGGAGCCCCCACTCTCCCTTTGATGGTTCTGAGTCTCTGTGGGGTCCATGCTCCAGGAGGCAGCAAGGAGGTGCCGGGCAGATCAGACACATGCCGGCCCTCCCTCCTATGCCAGCCACAGCAGCTTCACTCCTATCTGCCTCGCGTGTTAGGCTTCTTATTAGAGTTTAAGGCAAGAGCTATGCTGCTTTTCTTAACTGTGGGAAAATATACAGAACATAAAATTTACCGTTTTAACCCTTTCGAGGTGCATAGTTCAGTTGCGTTAAATACATCCATATTATTGTGCAGCCATCACTACCATCTATCTCTAGAACTTTTTCATCTTCCCGAACTGAAACTCTGTACTCATTAAACGCTAACTCCCCATTCCTTCCCCCACCCAGCCTCTGGCTACCACCATTCTACTTTCTGTCTCTCTGAATCTGACTACTCTACGTAGCTCATATAAGTGGAATCATGCTGTATTTGTCTTTTTGTGTCTGGCATATTTTACTTATCATCACGTCTTCAAGGTTCATCCATGTTATAGAATGTGTGGTAATTTCATTCCTTTTTAAGGCTGAATAATATTCCATTGTATGTATACTGCACATACCATTTTGTTTATCCATTCATCCATCAACGGACACTTGCTTCCATCTTTTGGCTATTGTGCATAATGCTGCTATGAACATGGTGTACAGATATCTGTTTGAGTCCCTGCTTTCAGTTCTTTTGGATACATGCCCAGAGTGGAATTGCTGGATGATATGGTAATTTTGTTTAATTTTTTGAGGAACCACCATACTGTTTTCCACAGCAGCTGCACCACTTTACATTCCCACCGGCAGCGCACAAGGGTTCCCATTTCTTCACATCTCGCCAATACATTAATTTCTGTTTTATTGTTTTTTTATATATATATAATAGCCATCCTAATGGGTGTGAAGTGGTGTCTCGTTGCAGTTTTGTATTTCCCTAATGATTAGTGATGTTGAACATCTTGTGACGTGCTTGTTGGCTAGATGTATCTTCTTCAAAGAAACATCTACTCAGGTCCTTTGCCCGTTTTTTAATTAGGTTGTCTGTTATGTTGTCGTTTGTTGTTGTGTTGCTTTTTAAAAGCTTGAAAACCAAGATCTAGTGTGCCAGATGAATCACTGAGCACCTGCTGCGGACCGGGAACTAGATGCCGAGGATTCAGCCGGGAATAAAACCGATGAAAATCCCTACCTACAGGCAGCTTACATTCGCTGAGGGAGACAAGCAATGAAAATATGTAGCGTGGCAGATAGTAAACGCTGTGGAGGAAAACAAAGCAGGGAAGCAGGGATCTAGGAAGTGTGAGGTGCAAGGGATGGTTACAGAGGGCGTCACTGAGAAGGTGACATTGGGGCAAAGGCTGGAAAGTGCAGTGACTTGCAGGAGAAGATTCTAACAGTCTCGGCAACTGCAGGGACGGTGAGGCAGGAGCAGGCCTGGTGTTTTCAGGAATCGGCACGGAGGCTTGCGCGGCTGGAGCAGGGAGGAAAGCCTGGACTGCAGGCCGTGCTGTCGGAAGGGTAATGAAGGCAGAGGGAGGCAGTCTGGCCAGACCTTGAAGGCCATGATCAGGACTGGGGCTTCTACTCTGAATGAACAGTTTGCTAGCAGGATACACTGCTGAAACGAGGCCAGTGATCTCTCCCATCCGGAAGACGTCCCTTAAGTCAAAGTGACATTTGACCTGTCGTCTTGAAAAGTGAATAGGAATTAATCAAGCAAATAAGAGAAAGGGGAGTTTCTGACAGAGGAAACAAACACGTGCAAAGACAGGTTGCCATGAGAGCTCCCGAGGCAAGTCTTCTAGTGCTTTGGAGCATGTGTGGTCGCTTAGAGGGTAACAAGACAGGAGCAGCAAGCAGGTTTCACACACAAGAGCCATTTAATACCCTAATAAGCTGGAATTTCAACCAGACGACTTTAGACAAGGACGTAATGGAATCAAGATAGGATGGCGGTGGGGAGGCTGACTTGGGTAGGCGAGGGGGGCAAACTCAGAGGCTGGGACACCCAGAGGCTGCCCTGTGCGGAAATCTGGGTGAGAAATGATGAAAGCTTGAAATAAGGCAGTGATTAGAGCAAGGGGGAGGCTGAGAAGAGATGATGTGAGAGATATAGTTGAGGTGACCAGATGACACAGGCTCAGAAGAGATGATGTGAGAGACACAGTTGAGGTGACCAGATGACACAGGCTCAGAAGAGATGATGTGAGAGACACAGTTGAGGTGACCAGATGACACAGGCTCAGAAGAGATGATGTGAGAGACACAGTTGAGGTGACCAGATGATACAGCCTCAGACGAGATGACGTGAGAGACACGTCACCAGTAGGCCCAGATGACCAACTACATGGGACAGGGAAGAGTTGAAGATGCCAGGTTTCAGCCACTGGGTGCTGGTCCTTGACAGTGGACCACTGGAGAAGGTACAGGTTTAAAGGTGAGGGGATGGGCAGAAACAGTGACTTGACTTTTGAGTATTCTAACTTTCCAGGTGGAAGTGTTTTGTGGGAAGTTAGGAATAAGGGTTTGGGGCTCAGGAACAAGTCTAGGGAGGCTTAGATTTCAGGAGTTGCAAGTCCAAAGATGTTCCAAGAAGAAGAGAGGGGAACTGCAAGGAGGAGAAGTAATTACACTGTGGGCCACAGAGAGTTCAAGAAAGATAAGGATGAAAAAATGGGCAAATACCAAGCAAGAAATGAGACAACAGCACAAATAACAGCATCATTATTTCATTTGCGAACAGCGAGTTGACAGGCATGAAGGATGGCAAAAGGAAGATGCATGGGCTCCCACCAGAATACATGTGATTAATTTCTCCCTCTTTTCTTGACCTGTTCATCCCCAATAAACTTAAAGTCAAAATAAATATTTCCATAAGATTTCTTTTATGTATAATATCACCTTCATCTTGGAGATTGAAGAAAACCTAAAACTTCCTGTAAAACAACATTAAATTCACAATAAGAAGAATTATCATAGGAATTTTTTTATATGTTAGAAACATCAGTGATGTGCAGAGGAATTTAGTAGAAGGGTAATTTTATATTTGATGATATTTCTTATATTGAGTGGCAATAGGGTAGCTGGGTAACAATGAGATGACTTTTTCTAACTACAGATAATTGTTAATTGGAATAAAGATTTTAGGGCTACTTTAAGCTATCCTTCATGCCACTTCATAGAGAATTACTTTAAACTATGAGTACAAGTAATCTTTTAGGCAAAGGAGTCAAATTAAGTCTCCTATTTTAAAACAAACTTAAAAAAAATTTTTTTTGGTAGATAAAATAGTATACACTACATTCTGCCTCTCCTGGCTTCCATGAGGCATTTACTGGAGGGGTG